ACAAAGAACAAATGTCCCTTAAGCGTCTTTTGCTTACAGAACAATGCAATATATCAAGCCACTATAAAATCAGCAGATAATGAAGAAAAATATACATAGGAGTAACTGAAGGAACTTAGAGACAAAGTAACTTTGCATACAAAACATCCTTTACGAATATTAAATACGCGAATAGCACAATGCTTTCTAAATATATCTGGGAGATAAAAAACAGAAACAAAATCACACCAAAAATATAATGGAAAATAAGGAAAACAGCATCACTTTACAACAATAAAACCCAGAACTGTAAACTCTATCTGGAGGATAAAATAGTTATAATTACCTTCTAGACGAATACAAACTACTAAGTAAAAGATTAAAAGTAAAAAATCGAAAACTAAAACTGAATCAGAATAAGCCAACAAAATGAAATAAATGAGCAAAAATAAAATAAATTAATTTCAAACCAATAAATAAGTAAATAATTTAAGTAAATAATAGACAAATTAACAAATCTCGAACGCACATACAAGTAAACGTAACAATAATAACCAACAACAGAATAAACAATAATAAATAAAAAATAGTTAACAAGCAACACTATATGTAGCCAAAAAACTGCATCTTGATCCACAAATATTTCCACTCAGTAGTCCCTAGAATAATTCGAAACATAACCGTTACCGCCGAACAAAATAACCGTTAGACTACCCGCAATGCATCATTGCCCTGTATATATAATTAGTTGAAAAAAAAAACAAAACACAAGGCATATGGCCTGACGATTGTGTTTAAGCATGAAACAAACTGTCGGCTCTGGGTGCTGATTTCAATGTCGACTTTTATATTTACATACGCTCTGTACCTAATATTGTGCACTTTAACCCATAAATATAGCATACCTTAAAACTATATTTTATCGTTATATATATATATATATATATATATATATATATATATATATATATATATATATATATTTAATTTTTCATAAATTATTCAATATCTCTTGAGAAATGGAACAACATTTTTTTAAGTTTAGTTTAAAGTTTAATTTTTAGTTTCGAAACATGTTAATTTCTGTGTCGCGAAGAATACATATTTTTAAATAATAATAATAATAATAATAATAATAATATATATATATATATATATATATATATATCGGTTAGGTGAAAAGAAACTCTCTGTTGAAAATTACTTATAACTTTTGTTAATTTGCATGAAACAAAATATATTTTGATCCTTCAAGTGGTAGAATTTTATTGATAATTTCTGATGTTATTGCTGCGTGACAAATGTAGCCCAGAATAGCATGACGGTTTCAGCTAGCAGCCCGTTACGAAGTGTGGCAGTCCGTGGTACAAGTGCAGTGATGATGGCGCAGTGTTTATGAACCCCATGTTTCAGTAGATGTCATTCTAAGCGGATAAGTACGGGATCTGTAGTAGAAACCTACAGAAGCAGTCATCCTTCAATATTCAGATTGGAAGAAAATATGCAAAAGATAGAATTATTCCTCCGTACTGTACTTTTGCCATTATACGGTGCAAAAAAAGTTTGTTTTATGAAAATCGACAAATAATTATTAAAGTTATTAACAATTTAAAACAGGGAGTTTCTTTCCGCACAATCTATATATATATATATATATATGTGTGTGTGTGTGTGTGTGTGTGTGTGTGTGTGTGTGTGTGTATTTAATCGATTCACCCCAGGCAAGGTGATAATGCCACTAAGATACAAGGGGCTACAGCGAATGAGAATGAGAAAACTTTAGAAGGAAACAGAAACCCAATCCTAAACAGGAAACAAGGGATAAATCTCTACACCTGTTCAAAAGACTGGGGAGGCGTGTGAACAGGATGGTATATATATATATATATATATATATATATATATAACCATTTTTCCTTAACTCTGAGTTTCATGCACAACGCAATTTTCAGATGCTGAGTTACTTAGCACCTGAATATTGCGTTGTGCATGAAACTCAGCGTTGTGCTACCCTTGAGGAAAAATGAATATTTATTAGTAATATATAATTTATAGCTCTGTTATTTTACATCGAACACTATTTTATTAACATCAGCACTCAATGTGCGATATATATATATATATATATATATATATATATATATATATATATATATATTGCGTGTTGTCTGGCAAACATTTAGTAAGTAAATAAAAAATTCATGTTTAAAATCAAGTCTTCCCTGCATTTCTTTTAAATATGTATTTTCATTTTATTAGGATATCAATGGAGATATTAATTTCAACAAAATAGACTATTATTTCCCCGGCAAATACGTGAATGTATCTAGATTATTACGTACTGCAAATATGACCTGCGACCTCACTCGAGATTACATTGCCTATACAAACGATAATTATTATATGTGGTAATAATAAGATCAGTCAAATTAAATTCATTTATTGCTTTTAATAAGTAGCTATAATATTACAGGACGTCTTAGCATGTGGTAAAGTTTTGTTTTGTTTTTTTGTAGAATTTATGCGTAAGATTTAAGTTTCATGCCTCGATAACGACAACGAAAACCTCGATGTGAAATATTCACTTTAGGTTCATGTCACTGGTTTTTTCTTATTTTTTCTCGGCGATCAGTCGTATTGTATCCCCTTTTTCATTCTATCTAGCTTAGTTATCAAATAATTTATTGATCAATCTGTAGGAAGTTTGCCAACAATTGTTGTTCAAGTCTAAATTAATGTGAGGAGAGGAATGTTAGTGTAAGCACGCTCACCTAGTGGCACAATGTAACACAAACAACTTGTTACATCTTTTTTTTGCGAAGAGATCACAGCCTATTCTTCACAAAGGTCTTTGACTCAAATTAAGTTTGAAAACTGGAATAGAATCATACGTGAACCTCCTCCAACACGACGCACACAAATTTATTCTTTGTAAATTTCTATGCAAAACGTAACCAAAAGAGATTCTTGTTTTCTTGTAAATAATGAAATTATTATTAAATTCTTTTCCTTTAATAATTCTACTAGCAATGCTATCAGTAAGCGTTGAGATCAATGTTCGGTTTAGTAGCTTGAAACATAGACAGAAATTTTGTCCGCCATTACATATACGGTGTTCGAGATCGAACCTTTTAATTGCGTTGGCCGCTTACAGTTTTCTCCCTCTTCCTTCGACCAATTAAGCTGGTAGCAGAAATTCAATGGTCCTAACTGAATTCTGCAACACAATAAGAAGAAAACATGTCCCGGCTGGTTGTTAATGATTAATGATTTATTAATCACATCTTCCTGGAGATTTTGTTGTGTATTTCGATGCTGTTTGGCAACTGGTACTGGCCACCCGACCTGCCTAACGGCCGAGTGGCCGAACGGACGAAGGTGAGAATGGTGAGTGGACACTAAGCAAATTCAATGGGTGAAGAAAACTTAATAGTAACACCTATTTTCTCTCTTTTGTTATCACCTTCTCTTTCATATTTACTTACCTCTCTCATTCATCCTCATTTATTTCCTCTTTTTCTTTCATTATTTTTGGCTCAAATTTCTTCTTAATTCCTACTTCGCAATTTCTTTTTTTTTTTACTTTTGTATATTTTTCTAATTTTTATCTTTTTTTTGTTTACATTTCTTTCTATCTCCCTTGCAATCATTCTCCATTTTTCTCCTTCGATCTTCTCGTGATTCCTGTATTCATTAACTTAGAGTTACTGTCTTTTTTTTCTTTCTTGCCAATTTTCCAAGTTATACATCTTTTTCCCATCTATGTCTTACACCCGTTTTTCTTTTTCCCTTTTTATACTCTCATATTTTAACCCACTCTATCATAAACACTTCCCTTTTTTCTTACACATGTCGTCTGCTTTTATTTCATACTTTCATCTTTTCTCACTTATTACTTTCTTTCGCTTCATTCCTATATTTCTGCATCTTTCTTTTCTCTTATTCTTTCTTTTCTCTTTTTTTTCCCCTCATTCTCGCAATATGCATGTGCATGATAGGACGCGGAAAGGTTCCAAAAGATGTTTTTCTATTGGGTTGGGTGGTCGGAAATCATGCCTTGACATAGGCAAGCACACCTTGGGACAAGTGAGGAAGAGAAGTGTCACATTTCTTGTTCCCGTTGTTGCGATTTTTATGGCGCAGCTGCAAATGTGGGTGGGGATCTCGTGGTTTCAGTTTCAGTTGATTGGCGCAAAGAAAGAACTGATAAAGTAGATAGAAAGCGTCCAAGGTCAGAAAAGTAAAATAAGAGCCGAGAGGAAGTGAAACAGGATTCAAGAGAACTCGTTCCATCATTAAAGCCAACTTCAAAGGTACCGTAAAATATACGGAAAAGGATGACTTCTGGATAAATAACCATTGTTTGTCGAAAAAATATGGGAAGTAAAGAAAATCAAAACGAAATAAAACTACTATAGTTATTCCCTACAAATTAGACAACAGCAAAATGACTTTTCTTTCAAGAGGTCACTATAATTCTTATTAAATCCACTTGACGTAAATTCGAAAGCCAAAAGTTTTTGGTTAGGAAGTGTCGCTGATCATAAGTAGCAAAATAGGTCCCAACGAAAATAGTTAAACGTTTCTAATAATTTGTATTGTTCCTTCAAAATCTTAGAAATAAAATTGTAATCGGCACAGTGATATTAATACCCTACGAATTCACGCTCAACGAATCTGCTATTTTATTTCTTTTTAAAAAATTCACCTCGACTTAAACTGCTACTGATTGGTTCTTTTACGGATAAAAGAATTCATTAAAAGCCAGATTCTAGTTTTAATTGGTTGTTTGTTTTTTGTTTAGCGGCATATCAAACTTTGCAGGTTATTTAATGCCGAATTTCTAAATATTTTATACTCAAATTAATTTATTTTCAGAAATCATAGGTTTAGTGACTAATTAACCTATAGGAAGTGGTAGATTTATAGCTTTCCCAAAGGTACTTGCACTGGAATTGGAACTTGGCTCTCCGATTAGCAATTCCAAGCCATCAGACATTATACCACTCACACATCCAAACTTACAGCACCTGATATTGCCAAGCGGCAACCCATTCAGGTACTGACCAGGCTCGACGTAGCTTAATTTCGGTGTTCGTATGAGAACCAATGTTTCAACGTGATATGTCCGTAAGCTTATACTAGTTTTAATGTCTGGTCGTTAATTTTGAATTTATTTGGCATTCGATTACATATTTAATGTAAGTCAATACATTAAGTAGTCATGATCTAAATATATTTACGAAATCCAGTTCATGTATTGCAAGTTTTTCTCTCGTTTCAAATTAATGGAATAGTTACTAAATCGTAAAATATTGGAACACAGGAAGAAATAAATGCACGCAGCACAAATGCAAAGGCGTAACGGTTGAGTCATAAATGCTTTATCCTGATCTAAATTGTGCTTCAAGATCTACGTCCAATGGCAGAAAAGCAAAAGCGCAACATCATAAATATGTACATGTTATACTAATATAACTGTTTCTTATTTTATGTGTTGGGTCTATTCAGAACATAACCAATCATGGCCCTCCACAACTTCCTATCCCTTATGACTATGGGGAATGTTTGTCTTTTTACGATTCCTACAACAACTTTGTTTTGCCATGCATTTACACAAACTCGTTAAGTTACTCATTTCCCTCTCCCCCTTTTGCTTTCACTATACCCTACGAGTTTCACATTCTCCAAGCCCTCTACCCTCACTATATGTTCCAGAAATTTAAACACTCTCTTTTTAATTCTAAGTCTCCTTTTTGTTTCCATTTTCCTTAACCCTTCATTCTTGCTCATATGTTCTGTCCATGATATTCTCAGCATATTTCCACAGAATCATATCGCTGTTGCCTCAACTCTCCTCTTTGTCTATGAAGAAGATGCCTAGTATTTTTATATATAGCCGTTCAGAACTATTTTCTTTGTTCCTAACGAAATTTTTCCGAATTACAATAAACGATCAGATATATAGATCAATCCGTGTACAGTTTCTAATATAAGGGTTTTGTATAAACAATATTCATACTCGATATTAATGCAATGTAAATCCTCCGTGGGCGTTAACCCAGCTTTGTACTATCGATTCTCCAGATGTGTCGATTATCATCCTGCGATACATTATTCTACGCCTCTTGCATCTGCTGACGCAATACAGCAAAGCATTGTAGGCGGGATAATTGAACGTGGCATGTATCGTCCAATTATGCCCCATACATGTTCATTAGGGGTACGGGCAGGTGTGGTGATCATGCGAGCCAAGAAAATTTTCGAACAACTTGCAGAGCTTGATGAGTAGTACGGCCATCACAAAGGAGGGTATTATTCTGCTAACACAGCACATTACCCGTGCGTCTCCGTCACATGATACCTATTTGTACTGATCTCTTTCATCACACAGAAACTTATCGCAACAGGTGTTACCATCGAGAACTCAGACATAGACAATACACTGCTATAAGTGCTACTACGTCACAAGATGGCCCGCGATTTTGAAAAAATTCATTAGAATATCTACGACTCCGTCTTATATCAATGCAAATGTTGTATCGTCTTTCAGAGTGTATAATTTTATTTTTTCCTCAGTATTATTTGTTTAAAATAGTTTAGAGTAAATCATAATAGTTAACTAAAAAAAAACAGTTTTTGTTGAATCAATAGTTTTTATTGCATCCATCGAAGAAAAAAGAAACTTGTAAATGGAAACAGTTTTATTAAGTACTGAAGTAAATAAAAATGTTTTCAGAAGATTTAATTCACTTTTTGTGAACCGAGATTCACAACGAGAAAGAATATTTTTAATATAGTATTTTGTACAATGTTGCACACTAGAACATTATTTCTATTAAATCTTAGCAACAGTAATTTGAGAAGAAAAACTCCTCAAAACACTTTGTTCCTTACTGCTACATAACACTTAAATTAGTCGAGTAACGTGAACCGGAAATAAAGAATGAGATTTCGACGAGATTAGAAGTTGATTCCTGTATCTTTGGATGTCTATCTTACTATCTTACTGCAACAGCTGCTTTTCGGATTAGTCCACGAAGGTTCAGCAACTGCATTCATTCAGTTGTAACGATCTAGCTAGCTATATATCTTATTTCCTTCAAACGCTTGATACGCTATTTTGTTTACATACGCTGATAGTTGTAATATTATTTGAATTTATTAGATGAAGTCTGGTTAATTATTAATTATAAATAATTTTTTATCTTAGTTTCAGTTGCTTTTCACTTAAATCATGATTATACGATTGTTAGTATAAGGCAATGTTTCTCAAAACTTTTTTTTTACTTCAGTATTATTATTGTTTAGTTAATAAGCATTATAACATAGCATAAATTGCAATATTGTGTAAAAAGGAGTTTTCGACAATATACGCATTTTTTTACGTATTTATGGTTATTTTTTAACTTTTATCAAAAACGACATTCCTGTACATGTAGTTATGGATAATATTATACATTAATTACTAATTTTTTTTAAATTAATAACTATTCGTGATCAGTTATTGACATCAATAGCTATCTGCTGATGTGTTAAAGTTTTGGAATAATGCAATAATAAAAATTTAAATTTCTTCTCTCTGATAGATGTCGCCATCTGTTAATCTACGAAGGCAAATTATTCTCGTTCCGCTGTTCATGTTTACTGTTTTCTGATACTTTTGTTTAGCTTGGTCGGTGGGGGGGGGTCATCTTCCGCTATTCCGATGTGCCTTCGGATTTCTGTTAGATTTTCCCTCGTCTCTTACAACACTTCCCAGATAGTTACATTTCTGTATTTGCTTTAGTTTGACGTCTCCATATTGTGGCTCGCATCTTTTGCAAACGACCCCATTGCACAACGTACAATATGAAATATTAGCACTATTATGCAAGGCATTTAGCGTTTTATTTAATCTTTTATGTCATGAAGGCAGTATAGTAATTACTAATAATGTTAATAAACAATGAGTTTGTTTGTTTGTTTTTTTATTCTGTTTTCTGTTCTGAAAAGTTTAACATTCTAAATTCGGATTTTCACTTTTTGCCTTCTGTATTGCAATTCCACCGGCACAGATCTTTTGTTTGGGCTCATCGATAATAAATATGTCCTTATAATTTTGAATGAAGGAAATATTGCTTTTGATGCAGTTTCTGATGCACCGATAAATCAGAAAATTCAACAAATTCTCATCGCGGTATTATTGTAATAAAGCAGGTGTGCTAGCGAAATTATCACACGAAGCTTGAATCTTCACAACTTATATTTTATTCAACTTCTGATTTCGTCAGTTGCACTCTGCTGGTGTGCTTTTACGCGGCCCACGGTGCCGCTGAACCGCTACGTGAACCCTACATTGTGTCCGTGATGTATGCGAGACTGTTCCGTCTCTGGAACGCTAGTTTATATATCCATCTGTCCAACGGTTTTTCTCCCACACGCGCATATCAAGTACAGACTAGTTCACAGATGTTTACTTCTTGGAGTCATCATTGACAGCGGATGAATCAGCGATGAATTGATAGTCTCTTGCGAAATCGTCTGCTAAGCCAACTGTATTTATGACAGGCGTGTTAAATAATACTCGCTATTAAACTGATTTTTTTAAAATAAAGAAATAACTAAAAGAAAGATCTGATTATTAAACCACTGTTAGTTCAATGGGTTGTTTGAACACCCCACAAAAAGTTTTTCCTTAATATTTTGCCCTTGGCATATCAAATTATCATGGCTAGAATTTTTTTTTTTGGCAACACGCATCAGCGTGTTAAAATCTTCACAGTATTTAGTATTGTTGAAGTTATCGTTAACATTTTTGTCGAGATTAATAGTGGCAGTATTTTGTAATGTTAAATAATAAAACATTTAATTTTTAAAAAAATGAATGAAAATTTATGGTAATAATCTACGCACTTTAGTAAAACCAACTGTACTTTGTACCCCCCCCCCCGCTTACCTGTTTGCGCTTCTCTTGAAAATTTGGTTTCGATCGGTCAATGCATGGCTATTTTAGAGGGTGTGACGGACGGACGGAAATCACAGAGATTTATATATAGATTAGCCAAGTAGCTTTCGGAATACTTCTGTTAAGTAACTACAAGGAGTTTTTGGTCTTATTCATAATATTTCTGTGAATTACAAGTTTTATTTGTTTTCTGAAAATGAAAGCTATTTTTGCATATTTTAATTTAACTTAGAAATTCATGTCAGTGAATGTTGGACAATCTCTTGACGGCTGAAAAGAGACAGAACTTGATTATGCAAAAGGATGCTGAGAATAACATGGACCAAACAATTGAGAAACGACGAAGTAAATAGAAACAAAAGGAACAGTTATACTTAAAATCACAGGCAGTTGAGATTTCTCAGGCACATAATGAGGAAAGAGACCTTGGAAAATTTGATACTCACATGACAGAAGAAAACAACGCATAACCTACTTAGTGAGCTTGAGTAAATGGTTGGCGGTATAAGATTTAGGAGAAATAATAAAAATAACAAATTTATTAAAAGCTACAGAAGTCAGAGAATTGTGGAGAGCTATGATCGTCAACGTCCTGAAGGGACACGGAACATAAGAGAAGCCATATCATTAGGCAAATAAAATCGTTTTGTATTGACATGCTGTTAAAATAGTCTTAGAATTATTATATTATTAAACAGTATATTCTTTCTGTCTGAATTCAGTTCTCAAAGAACTTATTAATCATGTGTATACACGACAGGTTGTTTTATTTGTTTAGACAAAGCCAACATTTAGTACAACCTAAACATTTGTGACGCATCCAAGATGAAACGAACTCACTAGTAATGGTTGTTATGCTAGCCATAATTCTACTGCAGGGCGTCTTCTTTGATATTATGTATTATTTAGACCTAATAAGAAGAAGCAAGTCGAAATTGAAGTAATTCAAAGGTCACTCATTTTTTTATCTTTAAAAAGTGCGTTGTTTGTTAGTTAATTCATATCGAGGAAATGGTTCACGTCTTCTTTTAATTCTAAAGACTTTTGTAAGTCAAAAATATTGTATTTATCAGTTTATAATTAAAGATGATCTTTCATTTGAGATTGATCCCGCATTTTAACACGTACTTGTAAACTTACGTTGTTGTGAGTAGCGTTAACGGGCAAATATGCCAATGTACACACAC